TCGTGAAAAAAACTGTTATATAATATATATTATAGTTCTTATAAATAAATATATTAATCGTATTATTTTGCAAACATCTTATAATTTAAACTGAAAATCATATAATCATATATGATCCTATATAGTCATATAAGATTATATATGATCAGATCAGATATTGCATCTCAAAGTATTCGATAGATGGCATTCGATGGGATCTGTTTCTCGTATTTAAAATTTGACAAACAGTGTTATAAGAACGGTATCAAAAGACACGACACTGTATCGCGCTATGGAGCGGCACAATTTTTGTATTAGTTGTATCGTGGAGTCTATTTTTATAATAAAGTGGCACATTTAAAAAAAATAACTTTTAAAAATATATAACAATTTTTTCTGAAACTTACTTAAATATATATGTCCAGACTGGATTATGTACGGACAAATATTATTATCTATGATTATATATGATCATACATAGACATATATGTCAAAATGCATACGTATCAGATCATACCTGATGAAATACGGATGTGTCAGTTCGTACCTGATCATACTTGATCAGATATTAACATATACAATAATACCAGATCATATATCCTCAGATCTGGCCAATTTCCATATCTGACCATATATGTCCAAATTGATATGATCATATATGATCAGATAAGAATATTTTTTCCCGGAATGTTAAACAAATTTGCTATTGTGCGTTTAGAATTTAAAAATAAACGTAGAATACTATTGCCAAACAGAAAATATTATGATAATAAGTCCATGGCGATGCATCATTCTTTTAAGTAAAATGGAAATCTATTATGAAATGTGAAATAAAATAATGTGCAATAGTTAATTTTCTATTTTCTATTTCTAATTTATTCCAATTTTTTTTAACAAGAATCCAAAATTTATAAAGTAATGAGATTGAAAAACTGGCGGAAACGAATGAAACATGGCGAACCAATCAAAAGTGGTATCCACATGTTGCCACTCTGATTAAAGGCTCTCTAACGTCTTTGAAATAGCAGCGCCGATCTAGAATCCCGTCAAATGCGAGGTGTGTTGAATGGGACTTAATTGACCACGTCGTCAACTGGCTGATTTAAAATAAAAATATCTGTTTGGTTGGTCTAGTGGAAAAACTCCAAGCACAGGGGACTATGAGTGTGGTCAATCGCAACGTGGTCAAAGAGGATGCTCCCGGTGCGTTCTGTCATACGTTTCCCCAACGCAATACGTGAACTTCAGCGAAAGTTCACAGACAAATTGTCGCTCATAAACAGTGAGCGTTCACCTTTTACCTTGGAAAAACGTATGATAGAACGCATCTCGCATTTGGCGGGATTCTAGAAAGGCGTTGCTATTTCAAAGACGTGTTACTCGAACAATACTTTGTTTAGCACTGCCAAACAAACGCACGAAGAAAGCGGAAGGGTCAAGGTCAACGTCAGTTTATATATTGTATAGGGGAGATCGGGACACTACATGAGCCACGGGGTACCATGGGTCATTGACTGTTTAGGGTAATCCAGAATGTTTAGGTTGATTCAACTAGTAACATGTGACAGTTATTTCGTCGCTCATACTTCGTATCTAGGTGGCAGTCATCAAAGTCCGTAGTCTCGAGACGCACGTGACATAAATGATTTTCGTGATGCGTAAATAATTTTTTAACCGTTTAGAAACGTTTTAATATTGTTTTTGTAGTAAAATATACACGTACCAAAAATTAGGTGTAACGTTCTAGCATCTTTTGTCATTTTACTACACTGCAGATAATCATGTATTATTTACTTTTTTTATTACGTTTCACCGTTTTCTATATTAAGTGCATTCGGGGCACCATGCGACACCTAATGCTGCGGCTCCCCGTCACACACGCCACCAAGGTTGATGATAGATAGATAGGTTGATGATAGGTTGATGATATATGTTATTTATGATTGAAGAAAACATGTCAGAAGTTAGTTTTTCTCCAAAAAAGTGATATTTCAGTAGTGGGTTCTGATATCTTTGTTTGTCCTGCCCAATCCTGAACAATGTCATAAGAAAATGTATAAAATAAAATTTCTTTTCAACTTTTGTAACTTTTCGTTATTTCTTGAATAAATAAACCTAGTTTTTGTGTGGGACTCATAGTGCTCCATATGACAGACCAGTGACAGACCCATGGTACCCCGGGTATGGGGTACCTTGGGTCATTTCTCAAAAAATGTGTTTTAATTTTTTTCTCAAAAACTAATCAATATTTGCCAAGTACGCTAAATAATTTTTAAAATATACATAATGCTTTAATTATTTAAAAAAAAATGAGAAAAAATATTATATTTAAAAGTACTTTTCAGAGTTTGAATTTTTGTGGCTCATGGTGCCCCGGTCTCCCCTATACACGTCATTGGATGGCGCACACGAGTGAGCAGCCGTGTATGTACGTGTGCGCTCGGCGCTCAGCCGGCTTCGGACAGCTAAAAGAGCGCTGACGTACAATCTTATTTACTTTAGGGGACACCACGCCGATGACTTTGAGCTGGATATACATATATTGCCAAGGACATGAACAACTTTTTCTTATGCTTAATCGGCGGTCATTACTTATTTAAAAGTTATAAACAAAAAAGATGGCAAATATTTAGAGAGCCATCTCCACTTTTCATAATTTTGAAATATGTTGTCAAGGTCATTACCTTAAGTAATGTTGTGAAGGTTTTAGTAAAAAATCATAGCTTATTAAAAAGTTATTAACAAAAAAAATATAATGAATAGTACGTAATTCTATATAGCCCAACCCAATTGTTGTGTGGGTGGAAAAGCGTGTGCGTGGATGCAGTGGGTTCTGCCCCTGTGCGGGGGGCTTCACCTCCAAAAAATCTTGTTGAGTGGATCACATATACACTTTTCCACCCATACAACAATTGGGTTGGGTTAGGTTAGTTTTTTGGAGTGGAGCCCCCCACATGGCAGCCCCCTACATGGCAGCCCCCCACATGGCAGCCCGCCCACATGGCAGCCCCCCACATGGCAGCCCTCCACATGACAGCCCTCCATTGCATCCACGCATACACTTTTTCATTCACACAACATTTGTACGGTTCGGATTTTCAACTTTTCACGTGAACCCAGGTCTACCTCCACCCACCCCCGCCTACATGTGTACTGTCCATACACACATATTAGTAAATTACTTTTCTTAGCACTGACAAACTGTTATATGTCTCAAACTTTTTTGTCCATAACTTTTAAATAAGCAATGACTGTTGAATAACTTATAAGAAAAAGTTACTCAGGGTCATGTTCTTGACAACATGTGTAAAGCTCAAAATCATCGGTGTGGTGTCCCCTAAAGTAAATAATTACTATATTTTTCTTTAGAGCCGCACAGGACTCTCGTATGGTAGCGTAACGTAACGTAACGTGGATCAACGCACAAGAAACGTATAACCGTAAAATCGTAACCGATTTTTTGTGCGTTGACTCACGTTACGTTACGCTACGTTAGCATACGAGAGTCTTGTGCGGAGGCTCTTACACAGTCAGCCCCAAATGACTTTTGACCTATCTTAATGTTGACCTTAACCTTGAAGAAGTTCAAGATCACTGACCTTTTCCGTCGCTCGTACTGTGTAAAGGAAAATATTTATCATTTAGAATATGTAATTAAGTTTTTCTGATAATTAAAATAAAACAGATTATTTACGAGTAATTATTTAGTATAGGGAAACCAGCCCCAATAACCATGACCTTGACATATGTTGTAAAGTGACATGACCGTGAGTAACTTTTCCTTATAACTTAGCCGTCGCTCATTCTTCATTAAAAACTTATTAACAAAAAAGTTTGAGAAATATAGCAGTTATTTTGAGTATTAAAAGGTACAACCCACACAGCATCGAAATATTTCAGAAAGCTTTCAAAAAACTGTCAATGAAATATGAAACCTTTCAAAAAAACATTTTAGACATGTTTCAGATATGTTTCAGAAAGCTAAAATGTCCGCCAAGCTGAGATTTCAGAAATGTTTCTGAAATCTCAGAAATATTTCTGAAATAATTCTGAAATGCTTTAGAAATATTTCTGAAATGCTTAAGAAATATCTCTGAAATGCTTAAGAAATACCTCTAAAATGCCTAATAAATATCTCTGAAATGCTTCGAAAATATCTTTGAAATGTTTCAAAAATATACGGGAAATATTTCAGATACTTTTTCTCATATCAAATTGTTTCGGATCACCCTGTATAGGATCATCCGGAACAATTTCCTGTCCTTCGTAAAACATATTCTTGATCATAGTCATGATTTTGCTTCGCCGAAGGCCTGCTTATATTAGATTCCAACTGAAATTTACTTGCGAGTTAGTCTTACTACCCAGTAAGCAAAAAATCATTATTACAATGTTATTGCAACAATATTCTAGAACTTGTAATGTTGTTAAATATGTAGTTCTTAATGTTGTATAGAACATCATTATGAATATACTTTGACCACGATTCCGAAATTTCAGTAATGTTGAAATGGGAGTGCCATAACGTTGCAAATAACATTTTGCTAAGGTTTTTCTATCATTCCTGTAATGTTTTTGAGATAAAAATTTAAACAAACTATCAACTTTATTACAATATTATATTAAGATTACCGTAATATTAATTCTAACATTTATTTAAAGTCATTATTGATATTTTATTTTCATTTCAGGGAGTATGTATTTATTTTCAATAAAATGCACTACACTAATTACCATAAAAAAGTAGTTTTATTTATATGAACAAATATATACATATACATATACATATATAGGTTTTATTATGAGATTTATTTCGTGTGCCAATTATTTCTGCAAATTATCTCTGCCAATTACCTCAGAAAGTATTGATCCTAGGAAGGAATCCTAGGAAGGGATTTTTGAAGTCAGCCTTCGGATAAGGGAAATTAAGGTGCCTTCTAACTCTTCTTTAGGCAATGCGATACAGATGCTTTAGTTTAATATAACTCTTTTACTATTTTTTTCCAAACTTTTATTTTTTCCTTTTAAACAGATTATTAATCTTTCCGGATCTTTACCAAACAGTTGCTGAAAAATAAGAATTTCTCATTCAACTTCAGAAATATTAGTAACATCTTCAGTGATTTAGTCTATGTATCAAAATATATTATGTCTGTTAAGTTAGCACCCCTCCCCCTCCGCAAAAAACAGAATAACACATATGTAGAAATTAAATGCTCTTTATGTGCTAATTATTCTATTCACGATTTTTGTGCTTGAACGGTTTCGTGGAAAATTGCAATTGAAAGTGGAGATGCTGGCTTAACGTAAGCTAGCACCCCTACTCATTAAAATTATATTATAAAATAAAATACTCAATATAGTAGAATTATGTGCTTTTTATGTGCTTTCAAATGCCTCAAACAAAATTAGTTTATCTGTAATAGTTTAAAAGATATACGTAAAAAAAAGATCTATATACTACTGATATAAGAGTAAAGTATCAGTTAAAATACAGAAAGCAATATAATTCTTGTCTTAAAATGTTTCTTGATTAATGTGTTCTCGAAATATGCACAATGAAATTTTCGTGCTTATCCCCTTTGACCGACTTGAACATGAACATCCCATACGTACAAGAGTAAAGTACTAGTTAAAATACAGATAGCGAATTGGTTTTAGTCTTAAAATATTCCTCAATTTATATGCTTTCAAAATATGTACAATGAGATTTCTGTGCTCATCCTTTTCGACCGACCCAAACGTGAACACCCCATACGTACAAGAGTAAAGTACCAGTTAAAATACAGATAGTGAATTGGTTTTAGTCTTAAAATATTCCTCAATTTATGTGCTTTCAAAATATGCACAATGAGATTTCTGTGCTCATCCCCTTTGGCCGACCAAAACGTGAGCACCCCATACGTACAAGAGTAAAGTACCAGTTAAAATATAGATAGCGAATTGGTTTTAGTCTTAAAATGTTCCTCAATTTATGTGTTTTCAAAATAAACAGAATAAGATTTTTGTTTTGGTTAATGTATTGATTAACTTGTTTAATAAGATTTCATAAAAATTTTTAAATGTAGTATTTTTTACATAAATATTGTTATATATGTAAAATTGTTAGCAAAACGTGGGATAGTTATCAGTATCAAATATTTGATAGAGATGAGTAGATGGAAGAAGTGCATGCAGGAATAGATAGGAAGAATTGAGGTATACAAGTAAAATATAATTTTGTATATAAGTAATATAATTATATTAATATTTATAAAATTAAATATATGTATTTGTATACATTTTTAAAGTTATTTAATATGAGTTATGAATAAGTATTGCAAAGTTGCTAAATATTATGGAGAATTTTTCACTGAGATTCTGAACAATATATAAATACATATAAGTAAACATATTTTTAACTAATTTTTAACATTCCCTTTCTAATAATAGAAACAAAATATAATTTTCAAAATTAGTTACTCTTTAGTAAACTTTAATTTGTATTTATATAGAATCTCTTGTGTATTGTTTTTTATGATAATGTTACATGAATGATAGTGCAGTTCACGCTACAATTGCGCGACTAATACTTGAAAGATATATTTGTTTTATAATGTACAAAAGAATATGGTAATAGAATATTTAGATATTACATATATAATTATGTTTATTAAAAAAATTTGTATCAAAAAATTACATTGACAAAAAAAATTAATGTGATTTTTATGCTTTTAAAATCATTGTGCATATTTCGGGAGCACATAAATTGAGGAATATTTTAAGACCAAAACCAATTTGCTACCTGTATTTTAACTGGTACTTTACTTTTGTACGTATGGGGTGTTCACGTTCAAGTCGGTCAAAGGGGATAAGCACGAAAATTTCATTGTGCATATTTCGAGAACACATTAATCAAGAAACATTTTAAGACAAGAATTATTATGCTTTCTGTATTTTAACTGATACTTTACTCTTATATCAGTATAGTATATAGATCTTTTTTTGCGTATATTTTTTAAACTATTACAGATAGACTAATTTTGTTTGAGGCATTTGAAAGCACATAAAAAGCACATAATTCTACTATATTGAGTATTTTATTTTATAATATAATTTTAATGAGTAGGGGTGCTAGCTTACGTTAAGCCAGCATCTCCACTTTCAATTGCAATTTCCCACGAAACTGCTCGAGCACAAAAATCGTGAATAGAGCACATATAATTAACGCATAAAGAACACTTAATTTTTGCATATGTGTTATTCCGGTTTTTTATGGAGGGTGCTAACTTAACAGACATAAATACATTATATTACTTTTTTACCTTTTAAGATTTTTTCCTTTGTTTACGGATGTTTGCAAATCTAAGCTATTCCATTATAGAATATTCCAAGTCTTTCTCTGTATTACAAGGGATTGTTGTCTAATAGCCTCTAAAACAAGAAGAATTCAATATAGTTTAGATAAGAAAAAGGTTGTAATTTAATATATACATAATTTAATTATAATAAGCAGTTTTACTTACGAATTGTGTAAAAGCTTCTTGGTCATCTTTTAGCATTTCTAGTATCTTGTACAGAGTTTTCCTTATAATATATTGTTCACTGATGTTTATCTTAGCCAGGGTCAAATTTTTCAAATGGTGGTTTTTTGAATTTGATACAACAATTGTTGATCCCATATGTTAAGACATATTCATTGCCTTGTACATATAAAATATGCTTACAATAATCTATTTATATACTTTAGAGTGTGATTATAGCACATATATGTGAAAAAAATATAGAAATAAATAAAAAGTCAGTTTTGGTCTTGTTTGTACTGATCGTTTGTTACATATCTATCAACTTTATACCAATTTTATACTAAATTACTTTTACAGTGATATATGCAAACAATGATGTATTAAAGCCGCACAATACTTCAACAAATCGTCTTCATGCATAGTGTACCAGCTTATTTATACGTTATCATTTACATATTTCGCTAAATTTTGAGGTTATTTTATAGAAAGTTACACTGTTTGGTACCATTGAAATAATAGCATTGACAAACCTTGATGATATTTTTAATGTCCAAGGACAAATCTATTATAGAACGTAAAAAAATTAATTGATATTTCCTCTTTTTTGTAAATTTCTCTTGTAAATTGGAAAATAAATCCTACATCACCAGCTACTATTCATAGCACAATAAATAATTATAGCACGTATGGGTTAATTGAATTTTTATCATTAATATACAACTTTTAGAATATAAATTATTACTTATATATAAATATGCTGTAAATAAAGAGCACTCTGCACTCCTCGATTGACACACGTGTATACGTACTCACGCATCGTATGTAAGATAATCATGTACATCATGGCTGTCGCGATGAGCGTTGCGCACAATATAAAACGATTCAATTGTATAATACTTTCCTTAGAATATTGCTCAGCCTCGCGACCCGAGTACATACATCAAGAATATGTTTGATCCTTATTAATACTTTGGTATATTTCTTTTCTTCTGCAAATCTCTCTCTTATATAGGTCAAAAAATAGATCTTGAATCACCAGCTACCTATTTACAGCACATATAGATAATTAAGTTCTTATCATTAATATGCAAGTTTTAGAATATAATAATTACTTACTCATATAAAAATGTTGTATACAATTAAAAGCGCTCGACAGCACAAGCACAAACGTACGTATATATGACACACTCACGCATCATACGTATGTAAGATAATGCGACTACAGTCTCCAGAACTATTACTGCTTCCGATGGGCTGT